CCCCCCGGCCATCCTAGTGGACGTCAGCAATGAGGACTTCCCCGAGCTCGCGAAGAAAATCCGCAGTGGGGCATGCCGAGACGTCATTGGTAACCGCGTAGTGGGGATGAGGCAGGCAAAGTCCGGCGGCCTCCTCATTGAGGTGCGTGGCAACCCGGAAGAAGTGTCCGCAGTGAGAGCAGAGATTGCGAGATCTGCAGGGGCCGAAATCGGTGTCAGGACACTGCAGCAGAGGGAGCTGGTAGAAATCAGGGACCTGGACCAATGGTCAGATGGACCTGAGGTCCTCGAAGCCATAACTTCGGCCACAGGATGCGACCCGAGCACGATAAGGCTAGTGAGAATGCGGAAGCGCTTCGGTGGAGCCCAACTCGCCTTAGTCTCCGCCCCCAAGGAGGTTACGCAGGTGATCGTTAGTCAAGGTCGGCTGAGGGTGGGTATGGTGAGCTGTAGTGTCAGGCACTGCGACGCCAAAGTTAGGTGTTTTAAGTGTCTGGCATACGGCCATGAGGCCAAGTCATGCCAAGGTCCAGATAGGACCGAGTGCTGCAGGCGCTGCGGCGAAACTGGCCACAAAGCGGCCAACTGTAGTGCCACGGATCAAGCGGCAAACGTTTTTGCCGAGGTGTTGCAGGCGTCCAAATCCATGCCTAGCGCAGGATCATATCGCTCGAGTGGAGCGACGGAGGACAAATGCACACCAAAATGATCAGTGTCCTACAGATAAATGTAGGAGTGTGCAGAGTGGCGCAGGACCTGGCCCTGGCCACTGCATCGAACATGAACATCGACGTGATTATCATGAGTGAACCGTATCGCTGTGGGATTGAGGCAGACGGATGGTTCAGTGACGCCGGTGGAAAGGCGGCCATCTTTCTATCAAATCCAAGGCTGCAAGTACGAGCCGCCGGCCCAAAAGACAACGTGGGATTTAGATGGGTCAAAGTGGAGGACGTCACTGTGTACACTTGCTATTGGTCTCCAAACACCGTCTTCACCCTATTCGTGGACTTCCTTGACAGGCTAGAGGGAAGCATAAGACAACAGGCAGGGACGGTCATAATCGCCGGTGATTTCAACGCGAAGGCACCGGTATGGGGCGACCACAATGAAGAACCTAAGGGGCGTGCACTAGTCGACATGACCGCCAGTCTGGGCTTCACTACGTGCAACATCGGCGACAAACCGACATTTACTAGAGTGTATGCAGGCGGGATATCGAGATCGCATATCGACATCACGTTTGTCAACGACAGCAGCAGCTACCAAGTGCAGGACTGGAGGGTACTGGATCTTTACAGCGCATCCCTCCACAAGTATATTGCGTTTAACATCACTGGAGCTGCCGGCCCAGAGCGCCGTCCACCGGAGGAAAGGTGGTCATGGAGGAGATACGACGACTCCAAGCTAAGGGACTTTATGAATTTGGCCAGTATTGATATCACCTGTGACGAAGCGATACCAGCCACGGAAATGCTCGACCTGTATCTTAAACAAGCGTGCGACAGTTGTATGCCTAAGGGCAGGTACACAGGAGGCAAAAAACCGGCTTTTTGGTGGTCGCAGGAGATAGAAAAACTTCGTGAGGAATGCAACAGAACGAGACGCCGTGTCAAGAGGGGACGCCTGCAGCCGGATCAGGATCAAAGGCGGGAGGAGTTTGGACGTGCTAGGAAAGAACTGAAAGTGGCCATCAGAGTCAGCAAACGGAACAGCTGGAACGACCTACTGAAACAGGTAGAAGTGGATCCATGGGGCCTACCATACAAATTGGTGACCAAAAAACTAGTTGGTAGGAGACCCATTCCCGGACTTTCCACGCCAGGAAGAGTGGAATCGATCGTCGACGCTCTATTCCCGAGGGAGGCAACCATCGCCTGGCCACCACGCATGGAAACCCATGACTTCCCAGCGGTCACCAGAACGGAAATTGTGGAGCTCAGCAGCAGGATCCCCCGAGGAAAGGCACCGGGACCTGATGGTGTACCCGACCTGATTGTAAGAAACGTCGCTAGGCACAAGCCAGAGATACTACGGGACATCTTTAATAAATGTCTAAAGGAGAGCGTTTTCCCACATCGTTGGAAGATAGCGAAGCTCGTGCTTCTAAGGAAAGGGGACAAACCTCTCGAGGAACCCTCCTCTTATAGACCAATTTGCTTGCTAAACACGGTAGGCAAATTTTTCGAAAGACTAATAAAGACCCGCATCGAAAAACAGCTCGAGGAAGCCGGTGACCTCGATGACCGTCAATACGGTTTTAGAAAGGGGCGGTCGACGGTGGACGCCATAAGACGCGTGTTGGATGTTGTAGAAGCAGCCGGCTCTGGACAGCTTTACAACAGAAAGCTGTGCGCAGTCGTGGCGTTGGACGTGGCGAATGCTTTCAATTCGGCAAGATGGCCGAGGATAGTAAAGGCAATGAGGGATAAAGGTATGCCTCCCTACCTCGTTGGTATAATCGAGAGCTACCTTAGTGACCGGACTGTGGTCCACGGAGAGAGCTCAACACCCACCACGTGCGGTGTCCCACAAGGTTCAGTGCTTGGGCCTCTCCTGTGGAATATAATGTATGACGAACTCCTGCAAGTGGACACAGGAGGCAATGAACGAGGTATGTCGTCCACGGAACTGGTGGCCTTCGCCGATGACGTGGCTGTGGTGGCAACAGGCCATACTACGTGGATACTAGAGACGGTTATCAATCAGGCATTGGATAAAGTTGCCGAGTGGATGATGGGTGCTGGACTATCTCTGTCGGTTAGGAAGACAGAGGCAGTCATGTTGACGACGAAGAGGGGATACAGTCAGCCGAGCCTCTCAATCTTAGGCAGCCGCATCGAACTGAAAGAGAGCATAAGGTATTTAGGAGTCGTGCTGCACAGGGTACTCGGGTTTAGGGCGCACGTGGAATCGGCAGCGGCCAGTGCACAAGTCACGGCGACTGCGCTATCAAGGCTTATGCCTAACATTGGAGGCCCGAGGCAGAAAAAGAGGTCCCTCCTGGCTACGGTTGTGGCAAGCAAGCTTCTGTATGCAGCGCCGATATGGGGTGCAGCGATGGCGTTTAATCGCAATGTAACGACGTTGGAAAGGCCTCAGAGGGCCATCGCGATACGGACCATAATGGCGTACAGGACGGTGTCAACGGCAGCGGTGTTGGTGATCGCAGGGATGATACCGGCCCACCTCTTAGCCTGGGAGAGGTGCGAGAGATATAAGCGGAGACACGAGCCAGACGCAGCAAGGGCAACGTCAGAGATCCGTTCAGAGACATTGAGGAAATGGCAGACAGAGTGGGCAAACGAGAGCAATGGAGGATGGACAAGGAGGTTGATCCAAGACATCAACTTGTGGAGGGGCAGGAAACATGGGTTATTGGATTTCCACATCACGCAACTGCTGTCCAATCATGGATGCTTTGGTGAATACCTCCACAGGATCGGGAAGCTGGACACGGCAGCATGTGTGGATTGTCAAGAACAAGTTGATGATGCGGAACATGTCTCCTTCGTCTGCGGCAGATGGTGGAAACAACGCAGGGCGCTGGAGGTGGAGGTGGAAGAGGACGTGTCCCCCGATAACATCGTGAGTATCATGGTGGAGAAACGGAGCAATTGGGAAGCAGTTGTCAGATTCGTCAACCTCGTCCAGTCCACAAGGGAGCACGAGGAAAGGGTGCGACAGCGACTTAGGGTAGAATGAGTGTAATTATTTTTTTGTACGCCGAAGGCGGAAGTTAGAGGAGTAGAGTCCTCTCTTTTTTGTTGAGCAAAGCTCGTAATTGTTGTTGCGTTTATTGTAATTTATTTGTAATTTCACAATAAATGATACGGATACGGGGAGAAGGACGGCCCTCACGGGTGAAGTACCTCCTCGTAGCGCCGTGGTTCAAACACAAAAAAAAAAAAAAAAAAAAAAAAAAAAAGGTTAGGTTAGGTTAGGTTAGTTCAGCGGTGGCTGTCGTGGCATGCAGACGTGTCCGTGCGTCGCTCCCGAGAGTTTTTGTTTTTTCTCCAGTAATACCTCACCGTTTTTTGCGCGCAACGTTCGAATCGACGCATTAGTCCGCTCTGCGTCGATTCCCACAAACCGCGTGGAAATCGGTTGAGTTTTCGCCGAGAAATCTCAATTATCGTGTCACACACGTGTACTGAGCTACTGTGCTACGCACTATTCGTTTTTTTGATAAAAAGTGCGCGTTCGGGCCGGTGTCGCTTTTGAGTCGGCCCGATTAAGACCCACCGGACCCTCCCGAAGGGCTCGGTGCATCGCGCGTCCACCCCGGACCCCTCGGTGCCGAGTAAGCACACAGGACAAGCCCCTGTGCCGCCGTGAAGATTGTGGCCGAAACACACGCGGAAAGTTCACGCGCGGTGGCCCAGAAGACGCGTCTGGTGAAGACGAAGCCGTGGCCACCTCGACCGAAGTTTTCCGACAAACAACGGGTGAGTAAACTGAGTTTTTCTTTACCCCCTATCTCTTTACACGGCCGCCCAAAGCCGCCGTGTGGAAAACGGGAATTCCGGCGAAACAGCTGATTCTCGCGTCGGGGGAAGAACTGCCCCGTGATAAGGCGACGGGGACCAGCCGACGGCGTGTGGCCTAGTGTCGGCGGCCAATTGACGGCATTATCTGTCCTTTGGCGGCAAATTTAAATTTGCCTCCAAAACAGTTTTTTGGCAATAACTCGTTAGGAATTCACTTTAGAGCTTCGGGAGTAAAATTTTGCCCCCCCGAAACCCCTGACCTCCTACGACCACACCGGATACCATCCCGCAATCCGGAACCCCCTACACCCCCCAGGAGCGGAGTTAGGGGAAAGGATAGGGACAGTGAACCGGGATAGGGACAGTGAGGCAAACGGCAATCATAGCTAGTGTAGGTTCCGATACCTTCGGATTTGGTCCCTGCACTGCTTCACCGCCCGCTGCTGAGTGGAGAAGTGGTAGAAGCAAAGGGGGCAAGGGTCGCCGGACCTCTCCCTTGCCACGGACACCATGCCGAACTCTGACATGGAATCCCCGCCCTCACAGCCAGCCACAGTGACACTTGAATACCTCGAGGGAAAAGACTCGGGGCTCTTCCGAATGCTCAAGGCTGAGGCAGAGTCTTTGAAGGAGATGGCTAAGCGCACGCAGGTAAAGGGGCTCAAGGAGAGCGTTGACCAGGTGATCAACATCATAGGGTCCATCGAGAGTAATAACGCCGAGATGAGAGTGATGAGGAGCCAGGCAGTTGGCAGTAAGGTTATGGTAGTGGACGCCAAGAAAGTGGTGACTATTCTGACCCAGAACTTAAGTGCGGTGGTTAATGAGTCTAATAAGACAGTACTAGACGCCATCTCAAGAGTTGGCACAAGGACGTCCGGAGGAAATGAGGCTGGAGAATACGACAGACCTGGCGGCACCGACAGCGCGGAAGTCAAGGCGGCAGTCGCTAATCTGCAGACGCTGCTCGAAGCGCAGAGCGCAAAGATGGATGAGATGGCAGAGCGGGGAAAGCAGACAGCCTGGACGGACGTGGTTAGGAGCAAGGGCAAGAAGGACAAAGGCGACAAAACAGACGTCCAATTAACCGAGCGGGTGCCGAGCCGTCGACGGGGAGCACGCCCCCCCGGCCATCCTAGTGGACGTCAGCAATGAGGACTTCCCCGAGCTCGCGAAGAAAATCCGCAGTGGGGCATGCCGAGACGTCATTGGTAACCGCGTAGTGGGGATGAGGCAGGCAAAGTCCGGCGGCCTCCTCATTGAGGTGCGTGGCAACCCGGAAGAAGTGTCCGCAGTGAGAGCAGAGATTGCGAGATCTGCAGGGGCCGAAATCGGTGTCAGGACACTGCAGCAGAGGGAGCTGGTAGAAATCAGGGACCTGGACCAATGGTCAGATGGACCTGAGGTCCTCGAAGCCATAACTTCGGCCACAGGATGCGACCCGAGCACGATAAGGCTAGTGAGAATGCGGAAGCGCTTCGGTGGAGCCCAACTCGCCTTAGTCTCCGCCCCCAAGGAGGTTACGCAGGTGATCGTTAGTCAAGGTCGGCTGAGGGTGGGTATGGTGAGCTGTAGTGTCAGGCACTGCGACGCCAAAGTTAGGTGTTTTAAGTGTCTGGCATACGGCCATGAGGCCAAGTCATGCCAAGGTCCAGATAGGACCGAGTGCTGCAGGCGCTGCGGCGAAACTGGCCACAAAGCGGCCAACTGTAGTGCCACGGATCAAGCGGCAAACGTTTTTGCCGAGGTGTTGCAGGCGTCCAAATCCATGCCTAGCGCAGGATCATATCGCTCGAGTGGAGCGACGGAGGACAAATGCACACCAAAATGATCAGTGTCCTACAGATAAATGTAGGAGTGTGCAGAGTGGCGCAGGACCTGGCCCTGGCCACTGCATCGAACATGAACATCGACGTGATTATCATGAGTGAACCGTATCGCTGTGGGATTGAGGCAGACGGATGGTTCAGTGACGCCGGTGGAAAGGCGGCCATCTTTCTATCAAATCCAAGGCTGCAAGTACGAGCCGCCGGCCCAAAAGACAACGTGGGATTTAGATGGGTCAAAGTGGAGGACGTCACTGTGTACACTTGCTATTGGTCTCCAAACACCGTCTTCACCCTATTCGTGGACTTCCTTGACAGGCTAGAGGGAAGCATAAGACAACAGGCAGGGACGGTCATAATCGCCGGTGATTTCAACGCGAAGGCACCGGTATGGGGCGACCACAATGAAGAACCTAAGGGGCGTGCACTAGTCGACATGACCGCCAGTCTGGGCTTCACTACGTGCAACATCGGCGACAAACCGACATTTACTAGAGTGTATGCAGGCGGGATATCGAGATCGCATATCGACATCACGTTTGTCAACGACAGCAGCAGCTACCAAGTGCAGGACTGGAGGGTACTGGATCTTTACAGCGCATCCCTCCACAAGTATATTGCGTTTAACATCACTGGAGCTGCCGGCCCAGAGCGCCGTCCACCGGAGGAAAGGTGGTCATGGAGGAGATACGACGACTCCAAGCTAAGGGACTTTATGAATTTGGCCAGTATTGATATCACCTGTGACGAAGCGATACCAGCCACGGAAATGCTCGACCTGTATCTTAAACAAGCGTGCGACAGTTGTATGCCTAAGGGCAGGTACACAGGAGGCAAAAAACCGGCTTTTTGGTGGTCGCAGGAGATAGAAAAACTTCGTGAGGAATGCAACAGAACGAGACGCCGTGTCAAGAGGGGACGCCTGCAGCCGGATCAGGATCAAAGGCGGGAGGAGTTTGGACGTGCTAGGAAAGAACTGAAAGTGGCCATCAGAGTCAGCAAACGGAACAGCTGGAACGACCTACTGAAACAGGTAGAAGTGGATCCATGGGGCCTACCATACAAATTGGTGACCAAAAAACTAGTTGGTAGGAGACCCATTCCCGGACTTTCCACGCCAGGAAGAGTGGAATCGATCGTCGACGCTCTATTCCCGAGGGAGGCAACCATCGCCTGGCCACCACGCATGGAAACCCATGACTTCCCAGCGGTCACCAGAACGGAAATTGTGGAGCTCAGCAGCAGGATCCCCCGAGGAAAGGCACCGGGACCTGATGGTGTACCCGACCTGATTGTAAGAAACGTCGCTAGGCACAAGCCAGAGATACTACGGGACATCTTTAATAAATGTCTAAAGGAGAGCGTCTTCCCACATCGTTGGAAGATAGCGAAGCTCGTGCTTCTAAGGAAAGGGGACAAACCTCTCGAGGAACCCTCCTCTTATAGACCAATTTGCTTGGTAAACACGGTAGGCAAATTTTTCGAAAGACTAATAAAGACCCGCATCGAAAAACAGCTCGAGGAAGCCGGTGACCTCGATGACCGTCAATACGGTTTTAGAAAGGGGCGGTCGACGGTGGACGCCATAAGACGCGTGTTGGATGTTGTAGAAGGTGTTGGTGATCGCAGGGATGATACCGGCCCACCTCTTAGCCTGGGAGAGGTGCGAGAGATATAAGCGGAGACACGAGCCAGACGCAGCAAGGGCAACGTCAGAGATCCGTTCAGAGACATTGAGGAAATGGCAGACAGAGTGGGCAAACGAGAGCAATGGAGGATGGACAAGGAGGTTGATCCAAGACATCAACTTGTGGAGGGGCAGGAAACATGGGTTATTGGATTTCCACATCACGCAACTGCTGTCCAATCATGGATGCTTTGGTGAATACCTCCACAGGATCGGGAAGCTGGACACGGCAGCATGTGTGGATTGTCAAGAACAAGTTGATGATGCGGAACATGTCTTCTTCGTCTGCGGCAGATGGTGGAAACAACGCAGGGCGCTGGAGGTGGAGGTGGAAGAGGACGTGTCCCCCGATAACATCGTGAGTATCATGGTGGAGAAACGGAGCAATTGGGAAGCAGTTGTCAGATTCGTCAACCTCGTCCAGTCCACAAGGGAGCACGAGGAAAGGGTGCGACAGCGACTTAGGGTAGAATGAGTGTAATTATTTTTTGTACGCCGAAGGCGGAAGTTAGAGGAGTAGAGTCCTCTCTTTTTTGTTGAGCAAAGCTCGTAATTGTTGTTGCGTTTATTGTAATTTATTTGTAATTTCACAATAAATGATACGGATACGGGGAGAAGGACGGCCCTCACGGGTGAAGTACCTCCTCGTAGCGCCGTGGTTCAAACACAAAAAAAAAAAAAAAAAAAAGGTTAGGTTAGGTTAGGTTAGGTTAGGTTAGGTTAGGTTAGGTTAGGTTACCGGAGGGGCGAGCAGCTGGCCGACCTCGCTGCCAGTCTTGGGCTGAGCGTCGAGAACACTGGCGACACGGGCACCTACCGGCGGATCAACGCAGAGACGATCATCGATATCACGTTCTCACGCCTCGTCGCACCCGCCGCCATACGCGGATGGAGAGTCCTGGAAGACGTGGAGTCAGCCAGCGATCACCGCTACATCGAGTTTACCATGGACCCGACTCCCGACGTGGACGATACTGGGGGCAACCATGCAATAGGTTGGTCATTCCGTCAGCTGGACCCAGTCGCTCTAGCCACTCACCTGGCTAACACGGCTCAACCCGACGTCAACGACACTACCACCGCATCTCAGGCAGCCGATCAACTGATCGAATACCTGGAGGCGGCCTGTAATTCCTGCATGCCCCCTAGGGTCCCTCGTAGAGCAGGCAGAAACGAAGCTCACTGGTGGTCAAGGGATCTGGCCGCGCTCCGACATACCACGATCAAGCTACGAAGAGCGCTCCAACGGTCCGCTCGGAGGCACGAAAATCAAGACCTGATAGACGCCCACCGCTTGGTTTACTCGGAAAAGCGCAAAGAACTACGCAACGCCATCCGCGACGCCCAGGCCAAGAGCTGGGCCGAGCTGTGCAAAGCCGTCGACGACGACCCTTGGGGCCTACCTTACAGGGTGGTGACCAAGAAGATCGGCCGCCGCCGCCCTGGCGTCGAAGCGCGCGGCAGGGAGGACTCGATTGCCAATCACCTCTTTCCGGAACCTCCAGCAACCGAATGGTCACTCGAGCAACCTCTGATCGACGACCCCGGCGATCCGCAAGCACACCTGTTTACACTCGATGAGCTGCGAGAAGCGTGCACACGGCTGCCGGCGGGCAAAGCCACGGGACCAGACGGGATTCCCAACGAGGTCCTCCTCCGGGTCTCCAAAACCGCCCCACAAGCTCTTCTGAACACCTACAACTGCTGCCTGCTCAGGAACGAATTTCCTGCACGATGGAAGACCGCCAGGCTCGTCCTTCTCCACAAGGGACCTGGAAAGCCGATCCTCGAGCCATCGAGCTACAGGCCACTATGCATGCTCAACTCCGCGGCCAAGCTCCTGGAGCGACTGTTGCTGACGAGACTCAACCTGCACCTCGACTCGACCGGACAAAGGTCCGAGAACCAGTACGGGTTTCGGCAAGGACGATCCACCGACGACGCAATCGATCGCGTAATCAGCGCAGCCCGGGGAGCCGCATCGGGCGCAGTCCAACACCGCGACCTGTGCGTAGTCGTATCCCTCGACGTGCGCAATGCGTTCAACACCGCCCCGTGGCCTCGGATCGACGCCGCTCTCCGCGAAAGGCTGGTCCCATCCCACCTGAACCGCATGATACGATCCTATCTGGAGAACAGGACCCTCCTCGTCGGAGAGGCACAAACAGCGAGGAGCGTCACGTGCGGGGTCCCACAGGGTTCGGTACTCGGTCCTGCCTTATGGAACGTGTTCTACGAAGAACTACTTGACACCGACATGCAACCCGGAGTTCAACTGGTGGCATTCGCCGACGACGTGGCCGTCATCGGAACCTCTCGGACCGGAGCATCCGCAGCAGAACTGTTGAACCCAGCGCTGAGCACCGTCTCGAATTGGATGCGCGAAAACGGTCTCACGATAGCTCCCCAAAAGTCTGAGGCCGTCGTTCTGACCAGGAAATACAAATTCGACGACCCCCAACTGTACGTGGAGGGACACGCCATACCGGTGAAGCCAGTCATTCGATATCTGGGGGTGGAGTTGGACACCCGCCTGTCGTTCACGGCACACATAGCCACAGCGTCGAGAAAGGCCTCGGATTCGGCTAAAGCCATCGGACGTCTGATGCCCAACGTAGGGGGCCCGACCCAGGCAAAACGGG